GTCCCCCTTGTCCTGCCCCTGCCCGAAGACATCCACCCATCTGCCTCCCACACCCTTGGGCACTGGAGGGGTTGGAGAGCTGGTTCGGACTGAAAAAGCTCTGGCCACAAAGCCCTACTATAACGGGTGCTGGCAAGTGTCTAAAGAATGAAAAGGCAGGGCCCACACTGCCGCAGAGACCAGGTGGCAGAGCCCTGAGGGGCCGGCGGGGGGCAAAGGGGCTGGCCTCTACCTGGGAGTCCTTTCCGATCTGTTGACCGTCCTGGAACCTTGGACAGCGCTGTACTTTCGGCCCCTGCCAGCACCCCTCTGCCTCCCTGGTGGCTGTCTGGCTGCTTTCAGCCTCCCCTTCCCATACCCCTCCACGTCCCTCTCCCATGTGCTCCTGCCCTGGCTGGCCATCGTTTGACCCCAGGCCACATCCAAGGCTGGACAAGCCTGGGAACCTGTGCCTGTCCCCAGGTGCTGCCAGCTCCAGCTGTTTCAATTACCCCAGTGCCGCTGGTGACAGGCCGACCCCGCCCACCAAGTGACAAGGCCCAGGACACCTATGGGCCTGTGCCGGGCCAGACTGTGGTAGCTGGGGTGGCCTGGCTGGAGTGCTGCCCAGGCCACCCCAAGCCTAGGGGGTAGTAGGCACCTATGGGCCAGGGATCCTGGCTCATCGGCTTCCCACCTGGGGCTGTACCCTGTGGGATGGACCCAGTGTCCAGGATACTTGCAGGGCTGAAGGAGTCAGATGAGGGGAGGCCGGAGCCGCTGTACTGGGGTGTGGGTCATTCTTCCAGGGACTTGGCCCTGTCTGTTGGTCTGCAGGAAGGCATGCAGCAGGTGCTCTGTAAATGCCCGTGAGTAGTGGGCTGGGAATTAGCACTGAAAACAAAGCAGTCTCCGGGCTGCTGGGGCCAGCAGGCAGTGATTAGGTGGTTCAGGCCGGAGGAGGTGGGTCTACCAGGAGTCTCCTGAGGCTGCCCCTGAGATCAGGCAGTGGGTATGGCTGCCTCTGATCTCAGGGAAGGGCATTTTCTTCAGCTGCTGCGACACCCAGCCAGGTGGGCTGCCGAGGGCTGTGGCACCTGGTCCCAGAGGACCCTGAAGTGGGGGATTCTGAGTCCTAAAGGGGCCCCTGGGTGTGCCTTCATGGCATCTACCCCAGCCTGGAATCCTGGCTCAGCGGCCACAGGTGGTGGAGTTTGGGTGGTATCATGGCCTTTGAGCCTCAGTTTCCCCATCTATAAAGAGGGGAGAATGGTGGCCACAGCAGGGAGGGTCCAGGTGAGGTTTCCATGGGACACAAAGCACTGGCTGGGGCTGCCTCAGGCTCGGAGCCCTGGAGGAGGGCGGGACGGACTGCAGCACACCTGTGCGTGTTGTGCAGCGAGGGCCCCATGGCACCTTCCCAGTCGGATCTGTGGCTGAAGTGCCAGCAAAGGTGCTCCTGCCAGGACAGCCTGTCACTTCCCCGAGACATGCCAGGTTCTGTTGCTCAAGGGGACTCTGCGCCCTGGAAGATGTGTCAGGAAACGAAGCCTCCACAGGGCACAGCCATCCCCACAATGTGGGGAGCAGGGAGTTCGCTCCCCAAACTCCTCCCGCCCAGAGCCTGGGGACCTGACCCCTCCCAGGAGGGCACCCCGAGGCAGCTGAGTGCCGAGTCTGTCCCTCTGATCTGTCCCTCTCCAAGGCCAGCCTAGACCTGGAGTCCAGGACCAGCAGAGCGGAACAGAAGGGTGCTAAGGGACACTGCCCAAGAGCAGAGATGCCCCATGTGGGCACCCCTGAAGCAGAGACCCTTCCTCTGTCTGCCGCCCCCGGCACCCTCAGCTCTCCTGCTCCCAGCTGGAGGGTGTGTTCAGCTTCCACCCTCGGTGGAGTCTGCTCCCAAGGTCCCCGCTGGAGCAGTCCCTGGGGCCCTGTGCGTGGGCTGCGAGACCCTCTATCCTGGGGAGCCAGAACCCTGCTGGGTGCCCCTGGCTCGAGGGGTGTCTGGGGAAGGTCCTGTCAGAGGCTGCTCAGGACCTCAGTCCCAGAGCCAGTGTGGGAAGCAGGCTCCTGGCGGAGCCCCAGCTCCAGGACTCTGGGCACAGCACTGTGACCCATGACGTCCTGGGCCTCTGCGGTCCTGTGAGCTGTGAGCCTGGGCCTCTGCTCCAGCCTGGCTGTAGGGAGGATTCCGGTTTTAGTCCCAGCTCTGGTGCTGAGGCCTCTGGGACCTAGACAGGTCACTCCCTCTTGTCAGGCCTCAGTTTCCCCATCTGTAAAGTGCTCCCAGAGGGATGAGGGAAACTTTCAGCCATGTGCTGTCTGCATAGGTGCCCTGGCACTTTCTGTCTTGTGGGCAGGAGGCTGTGCCTGGACGCTCTGCAGGGTGGGGCCCTCTCCCGGTGTGGGGGCCTGGATGAGGCCTGGAACACTCTTCCTGCTGCTGGGCCCCTCCTCAGGATTAGTGTGGGCTCCTGCTCCTTCCCGTCCTGGCTCCTTCCCTCCTTCCTTAACCTCCTCCCTCCCTCCTCTGCCTCCTTCCTACCCTGTCTGCATCCCATGCCAGGGTCTAGGCTAGGTGCTGGCGTCTGGGCTTTGTCCTCCTACTGCCCTACCTGGACTGTGTGGGACGTCTCCATCTCATTTTCCTGAAACCGGGACTGAGTGTAAGCAGATTATTTATTCAAGAGGTGCCTGCGAAGAGTGTGTGTGGAAGGGGCTGGCTTGGGGAGCCCAGGAAGGGTGAAGGCCGGTGCCCTGTTGGCCAGCTGATCTGTGCCATGGGCCGAGAGTGATCATCCTCAGAGTGAGGCACGTTGGTCTTTATTCAGTCCCAACTGCTGCGTGCAAGGGCTGAGGGCAGTCCTGGGGCCCTGTGTGTACTGGAGAGGGGCCTCGCTCTGGGCACCGAGGACTGACTCCCAGCAGCTGTTAGTCCAAGCGGAACGGGTCTCCCCAGGCCCTAAGAGCCACCTGTGGTGGTGCCTGCCTGGGACCGTCCCCTTCCTGTCCCCCTGCTGAGCGTCAGCTGGGCTCCCAGACCCAAGGAATGGCCTCATGGTCCAGGGCCTGTGAAGCCTGGCTGTGTGCACATGTGCACGCTCATTTACACGGTGTGCCTGCGTATGCGTGTGCACATGAGTGTGTGTTTATGCATAGCCTATGTGTGTGTCCACTCCCATGGGTGCACGTGTTTAGGGCACAGGTGTGTTCGTGAGTGTGCACGCATATGTATCTGCATATGAGGGCATGCACTGCTTGTATGTGCATGCTGGGCCCCCCCCAAAGGAGAAGTAGGGGCGGGACAGCCCTGCTCTCATGGGGCACCCTGCATCTGTCGGCCTCTCTTCTGATTCGCGCCCTACTTCCCCTGGGCCACCCTCTCCCCACTTGGCGTCACTCCTTCCACGAATTCCGCCTGGACATGGTTTCCATGGTGTTCTGATAGAAGCTGGAATTCAAATCATAATTGTAGGGAGCGGGGCGGGGGGGGTGCTTTCTGGAGACAGGAAGCTCAGGTTGGTTTTCCTTCCTTCAGATGTATTAAAACAGAAATTTCTCCCAGGCCTGCTGCCTAGTGATGGCAATGGAGCCGCTGTCCTCTGCCCAGGCCTGGAACAAGGGCCAAGCCTAGGAGACCCATGGGGTGGGCAGGGGCTCAGCCTGGGCTCCAGCTGCGGTCAGGCTGGGACTCGTGGGCGGCCGGGGTCAAAACCGCCTTCCTGTCATCCCGGTCTCACTGTGACCGGTCTGGAACCTCACCGCTGGAGTCTCATGCCTTTGGTGCTCTGGTCAGCACGTCTCTTGAACCAGTGTCCCAGCTAGTTCCCCATGCCTCTGAGTGCAGGGAGCAGAGGCACTTTGTGCAGAGTGCTGAGCCTCACAGCCTCACCTCTGCGCCAGTCCAAGAGAGGCCCGGATCAGCACTAGCCAGTAATGAAGGAAGGAACGAAGGGAGGATGGGGACAGTACGGGTGGTCTGGCCGTCCGAGAGTGTCTGACTCTGGAGTTGTTAAGGATGCAGATTCCTGGGCCTAGGACCGCTGCCTAAAAAGGCCGGAGGGGCTGGGCTGGCCTTGGGCAGGTTCCTGGTGGCTCTGCTGCTGACTACCTCTGGTGCCGAGGACCTGGTAGGACAGGGGCTCATGGGAGCTACCACCCGCCGGCCAGCCTCTCTGCCACAGGAGGTGCACTGACTGTGGACAAGGGCCTGCCGCTGTGCCGCGGGCTGGGGGACCTGCTTAGAGCGGGACAGGACACACCCGGCACAGAAGTTACCTCTGGGGCGGGGAGACGACGGCATCAGTTCCTGTGAAGCTGGTGTGCGTGTGTGGTGCGTGTGCACATGTGTGTGAGACTCCTCATACCACTGAACACTTGTGCAAGTGGACACAATTCTGCATGCATCTTCCTCCGGCTCCCCCACACTGGGGCCCTCGGAGCAGCTCTGGCCTGGCCTCCTGCTCTCCTCCCTGGAGTGGGGGCGGGGAGAGACCAGGAAGGTCAGAGGGCAGGGCGGCTCCTGGGCAGAGGACATGTGTGGGGGAGGCGAAGCTGGGGAGCCCCACAGGCCACTTCTGTATGACCGAGGACACGCAGAGCCAGTGGACTGCAGGGCAGTGGAAGGTCCCGAGGTGCGGTGGAGGAGTGCACCAGAGGGCTGGGCCGGGCCGGGCCGGGGCTGGGCAGCGGGAGGAGGTTTTCTGCAGCTGTGAGTCCAGACTCCTTTACCATCCTGGGGAAGAGACAAGAAGGTGTCTGTCAGGGTTCATTCCAGTTGCTTCTCTGTCGTCTTCAGAGGCCGGTGTTCCAACTGGGCCTCGGTAGACAGAGGTTTGTTAGGGCTACTCTCAGATTTCTCCTTCTTCCTCCAAAACATTGTCCCTTCCCCCTCATCTTGGACAGACTTCTTTAAGGAGGATACAATTTTATTTCACACACTTTTTTTCTGTAGTGCTGGGGATGGAACCCTGGGCCTTGTGCACGCTAAGCAAGTGCTCTACCACTGAGCTACACTCTCTGCCCCAGTGATTCTATTTTTAAAATTTTAATCAGAATTTTAAAAGTCATCGGTCAACTGCCGTGGAGAAATTTCTGCCAGGAGGAAGCATGCAGCTGAGATGAGGCTGGGGGCTCCGTGGCTCACCGCGGGGAGGAGACTAAGGTGGGGCCCAGCCTCTGGGAGCTGTGACCAGTGCCCATGTGTTTCAACAGCAGGTGAGTGGACAGCAGCCCACCGCGGCAGCCCCTGTCTGCAGGGATGGATGAAAGGATGGCTCCGAGACCCGTAACGAGAGAGTCCAAGTTGGGGGCCCACAATCTCCTTTATTGAGAGACGCAGGGGTTTGAGCTCTGGCTGCAGTGTGGAGGGGTGTGACGTGGAGGGACACTGGAGGCACACGACAGGCTTTGTCAACACACTGGGCTCATGGGCTCTGGACTCCCTGGGGCGTGAGCTCACAGCACACAGAGCGAAGCCTTCAGAGCTCCACTGCGACACGGCCAAGGACTGGGACACAGAGCCAGTCCAGATGCGTCCCTTTCTCCATCAGGCCCACGGACACAGCATAGACAGCAGCGACGAGGACTTGCCGTTGTAGCTCACACCCTCCCTGCTGACCTGCACCGTCAGCATCCGAGGCCCGGCGGAAGGGGTCGCCCTGCCCATCTCAGGGACTGTCCCTTCTGTCCATTCCAGGCCCCGTCCTCCAGGACAGCCTCAGCCAGCCAAGAGGGTTGAATGGCTGCGCTAGTTTCTTAGGTGAAGAAACAGAGGCTCGGAGGAATCAGGCCATTGGCAATGTCTGGGAAGGTAGGGGTCTTTTCAGGGGCTGGCCTGTCTGATCCTAAGTTCAAGTGCTGGTTCAGGATCCGGTGCCTGGGCCCTGGCTCAGGCCTTTGGGTTGGCTAAACTCTGAGTCTACCCACTGAGCAGGGGGCACCACACCAACTGGGCCCAACAGACCTGGGCACGGCTGGGCCCTCAGAGGCCAAGGTCCTCCCTGGGGTCCGCAAATGGGCCTGACTTGCACCCGCCCCAACCTGGTGACCTGGAGGGTCACATGGCTTGCAGAGGGATTTTGTGGCTTCAAGTACCACACCAGTTCATGGCAGGGTGGCCAGATCCGGGTGGCCACTCATAACCTGGCCTCCAACTCAGCACTTTGGTCCAGAGAGGCAGTGCTGCCCCGGCCAGGGCTGGGCCCCTGCATCCCAAAGCAGTGCTTCCTGCAGGCTGTCTGCCCATGCTTGGTTTCCTTCATGGTCCTGAGACCATAAAACCCACTTTCCCAGGCCAGATTCTGCTTCCCAGGTCCTTCCTGTTACTCCCACTCCCACTCCAGCCCCTGCCTGGTCTGGGGCTCAGGCAACCTTCTCGGCAGGGAGCCTGGCTGGTCCAGCCCTGTTTGGAGATGGCTCCTAGAGACCGAGGAGGCGCCTGCCTTCCCTGGCGCCTGGAGCTGGGGGCCAGGACCGCCGCCCGGCGTCTGGTGACAGATGGGCCTGTCTCAGCCCAGAGATGCTGGCCAGCTGGGTGCCTGGACATCCAGGCCTGTCTTCTCACCTGCTCAGGACCTGGCCCACCACCCTGGCCCATGTGACCCTTCTCAGAGCCCCCACCCTGGCGCCAGCTCGGCCTGGCCGGCTGCCAGCTGTGTGCACGGGCCGGGAAGGAGGAGCCACTGATCTGCTGCTCCTCAGAGGGCCAGGCGCCAGCGCCTGTCCACCTCATGTCCATGCAGGACCTCTGGAGTTGGCCTGGGTAAGGCCAGGCTAGGGGGAGGACCAGGTGAGGGCAGTGGGAGGGAGGGATGCCTGGAGGAGAAGCCTGGTGTGAGGCCCAGAGCCACGGTGGGAGCCTCTCCAGGGTGGGGAGCTGGGTGTGGGCCTGCAGCACCCCACACTCTTGGAGCTGGTGGGCCAGACAGCAGCAGTCCTGAGGCAGGGCTGCCGAAGGCCTGGCCCAGGGGCCAGCCCAGCATAGCCCTCTCATTTCCTTATCCATCTCCCTAAACATCCATTAGTCTGGGAACAAAGGAAGCTGCCTTTCTCTGAGCACTAATTCCTCCTGTCAAAGGCCCTTCTTGGATCTGGGAAAGGAACAGGCTCTGGGCTCTGGCTTTTAGAGGGGGAGGGGAGGGGGAGAGAGGGGTGTGGGGAGAGGGCTGGGCTGAGGGGAGAAGCTGAAAAGGAAGGGCCTCTGGGCCAAGGCGGGCCGGGGCCCCAGTGCAGCCAGCTGGGGACACAGCCTGGCACGTTCAGCAGCGCCTCCTGGGCCTCGTGGGTCCCCGGGGGTCCTAGTACAGTGTCTCCCGGGTAGCGCTGGTGGAGAAGCCGTGGTTGCTGGACACGCTGTTGGTCTTCCGTGAGAACGCCAGTCTCTTCCTCCTGCGCCGCCAGGCGGGACAGAGGCAGGCCAGGGTGGACAGGAAGATCTGGCGGAAGTTGGCCGAGACGAGGTTGTAGAGGATGGGGTTGATGGTGGAGCTGATGTAGAAGAGCGTGTTGGTCAGCATGTAGAAGTAGTGGTAGAAGTCATAGAGGAACCTGGGGAGGAGAGGTGGTCAGAGCCCCAGGACCCACAGGGTGCACAGTCACCGAGTGATGGCCCGGTTGGCGGCAGCAGGTGGCTCGGGACACCCCACTGCCCAGGAGGTCCTTGCTGGGAGGTGTGACCGTGCATGCCAGGGTCCTGCTCTGAGCTCGCTCTCTCTTGGACTGGGCCCCTTCAGGCAGGGCCTGGCCTCTGCCTTGCCACAGGCCCCACTGCTCCCCGCAGCCCACCTCGCTGAACCTGGTGCTCACACGGCTGAAGAGGGAAGTGGGCGCCTCCCTGACCACCCTGGGAGTCCCCGCTTTGCTGTGCATCATTCTTGGGCATGGCTCTGCCGGACCCTGAGTCTGCTCTGGGGTGGTCGAGACCCTGCGGCCGGCAGTGTGTGAGGAAGCCCCTCAGAGCTAGCCCCACGACTTGGGCGGTCCACGGCCTCCTGCTGTGCACCGCGCCCACGCCCAGGGGTCCTCGCCACCCCTGGGCCCCGCCTGCCTGTTCTGGGGTACCTGCCAGGGCCCAGTACTCACGGGGTCCACTGCTCATCCGAGATGTAGCAGAACATGAGGCGGCGCACGTGGTAGGGGAGCCAGCACACCACGAAGGCAATGACCACAGCACCTGGGGGGCAGGGAGAGGGGCTCAGGGACAGACAGGCTGTGGGAGACGCGAGGAGGCATTGCAAATTCGTGGACCGGAAGACAGTGTTCTTAAAGATGTCAACACTACACAAATGATTTATAGGTTCAATGCAACTCCTATCAAATCACAGTGTTTTTTTCAGAAATAGAAAAAATCCTAGGGCTGGGGGCTTAGCTCAGTGGTGCCGCTGCCTGCCTCGCAAGCACAAGGTCCCAAGTTTAATCCAAGGTACAAAAAAAAAAATCCTAAAAGTTCACAAGGAATCTCAAGGGACCTTGACTACCCAAAATAATCTTGTAAAAGAAAAATACAGCTGGAGTTCTTGTACTTTTTGATTTCAAAACGTCATCCAAACACCAATAATCAACAGTCTGGTGTGGGCAGGCAGACAGACAGAGCAGAGCACAGGCCCTTGCACGCTTGGCGAAGCCGTCTTCACAAAGGGGCCCAAGCCCGGCCTGGGGACAGTGGTCTCCTCACACACAGGGCTGGACACGGCCATCCGCACGCAGACCCACAGTGGGCCTCGCCTCCCACCCTGGACAAAACTGACCCCAAACTGGACTAAAGACCCAGATGGGAGACCTGAAACTCTACCACTTCTAGAAGAAAACATAATATAAAACCTTCAGAACTCTGAGTTTGGTCACTCTGTTTTTCTTCTGAGACTGATTCCCGGAGTATGATGTAGATGCACAGGTCTCAAGAGAACAAGACACAGACTGGGCCGCACAGAGGACAGAGACGTCTGTGTGTCAAAGGGAGCAGTGGACAGCGAGGGCGACTTGCGCCTGGCAGGGGCTCACATCAAGCCTGAGACAGAACTGCCAAGAACTGACAACAAAAAGCGAACAGCTTGATTCAAAGACGGGCAGGGGACTGGGACAGACAGGGAGTATGCGCGACCACTGCAGGGCCTGCGAGAAGTTGCTCAACCATGCCCTTCACCCGTCACGCAAACCACAACCACAGCAGAGCCACTGCCGCCAGCCCTACGGGGGCTGCTCTGAAACAGGCGGCAGGGCTGGGAAAGTGAGGTGGGAAGCCACTGCAGACTGCAGTACAGATGTGCCTCAAAAACTCTGAGATTAGCACAGGACCCAGCGGGCCCTCTGCTGGACGGGACCCTGAGCTGAGGGCAGGCACAGCAGGAGGGAGCCCATGCCTCCCTCACAGCTGCTATGAGCTGCAGCAACCTAGGTGTCCACCGACAGGCAGGCATGGCACGCTCATAAACAGAATGTGGCCCATCCACGCAATGGAAGACTACTCAGCCCTGAAAAGGAAGGAAACGCCAACATGTGCTTCAGCATGGAGGAACTCTGCAGACCTCACGCTCAGTGAAGTAAACCAGTCACCAAAGGACAGATCCTGCAGGCCTCCATCATATGAGACCCGAGCCAGAGTCAGATAGACAGGGACAGGGAGTGGTGGGCGGCAGGGCCCAGGGAGGGGACGAGGGATGGCGTTTGAGTTTGGGAAGATGAAGATGGCCTGGAGCTGAGCAACGCAGCAGTCGCGCAACAGGGGGCACATGCGGCATTCACGCCGAGCAGCGGCTACGACGGTAGCTTTTGTTTCATAATTTTTAACCACAATTTTTAAAACAAAAAGTTGAAAACCACTTGGGGACCTCCCTCCAGGCAGAGGGCTCCAGAGCCCGGGTACAGGGCTCACAAGGGACAGCATGACAGGCCGTGCCCCTGAGTCACTGCAGCCTCGGCCCCCCATCTGTGGGGTTCAGGCCAGACCAGGGTCCCCAAGCTCTGCTGATTTGAGGCCATGCTTGCCTGAGGAGACTGAAGTCAGGACCCTGCTAAGAATGCACTCTCCCAAGTTCCCTGGAAGCAGAGTTGGGGTGCAGGGCCCCAGAGGGGTGCTGCTCTTGCACCCCAGTGGCTGTCACCCCAGTCAGCTCTGGCTGATTGCTTTGGATGGATCCCTGGGATCTGAGGGCATTCAGCTGTGAGGGTGGGATCAGGCTGGATGGGGCAGCTGGATTGTACTGTGAGGTCATCAAGAACAGTCTCTTCTGGGGCAGAGTCTCAGGCACCCGGGGAAAGTGGTGGGCGTCCTGAGTGGACCTGTGCTAGGGCCCAGCAGGTAGGAGCCACTGGGGTGCGGCTGCCTCTGTCCCCTCGCCCTTTTGGATCTCTAGGTTCTAGGAGGCCTGGACTGCGGACAGCACTCTGGGGAGCTGCTCGGAGCTCAACCCGGGGAGGACCCGCAGATGAACCTGATAGCAGGGAGCCAACAGCGGGGCCTCGAGGGAGGAGCCACAGGAGAGCCACACAGGTCTGGCTCAAGCTCCAGGCAGAGGGCCACTTCCTGCTCCTCACACTGCAAGGGCACAGGGGACAAGTGGACAGATGGACGCTGAGAGCCCCAGCGCTGACCCAGTGCCCTCACAGGCGGGTGGGCAGCAGGGGCCACTGGGTCTCTGGGTGTCCAAACCTTACCTGAGCTCTGTTGCCAGGGAGACCGGTGGGGATGGCAGCAACTTGGTCAAGACAGCGATGGGCCTGGAAGGGCTCTAGGTGGCCCTGGCACCATGGCAGGATGCAGACCTGCCAGGTACCTGGTGGATGCACAAAGAGCAGCACACCCCAGGTCCTGCTGGACCACCCCCCAGCCCCGCTCGAAACCTGGCTGGGTTTGGGTTCCTGGCTGGCCCCGCCCCCAGACCCCAGGTTACATACGGAGCACCCGGACACCGTGCCGCAGGGCCTGGATCCTGCCGGGCTCGATGGACATGCTGAACGTGCCAGGCTGTGTCCCCAGCTCCGCAGCCTGGCGCACCATGATGGTCAGCTTGTTAGCGATGACGGTGTTCAGGACCGAGATGACCGCCATGGGGAACACGAAGGACACGAAGGTGTTGACCTGGGGGAGAGCACTCGTGAGCAGCCAGGCAGGCAGAAGCCCCGGGCCCACTGCCCTGCCTGCCCACTTCTGCGGGGCGGGGCCTGGAGGGCAGCCAGCCTGGAAGCTCCCAGCCCAGGCTGCCTGGCTGGTCTGGCCGCCCTGACATGGTGCCCAGGCTCCGCTCCCAGCCACAAACCACCCCTGCACAGCTTGGAAGACCAGCAGGGCCCACCTGGTCAGTGGACGCACAGGTTCTGGGGTCCTGGCTGCACCAAGGGCTGGGCACACTGAGTCCGTGGCTACAGGCCCTGAATGCTGCTGGAGGCTGAGCCCCGCAGCCACACTCTGCCCCAGACCAGTCACTGGGACACTGAGGAAGACTCTCTGCCCACTTGCTGCCTCTCTGAGAGGAGAAGCACCTGGACCCCCAACACCTTCAGCTCCATGCCTGCCCTGCATCTGGGGAAACCACATCTCAGCAAGGCCAAGTTCTTCCCAAGGGCACTGGCTCAGGTGGATTTGAGCCTGAGCTCCCTGAGCCTGCTCAGCTCCATCTGTGACACCAGGCTGAGCATCACCTGGTGGGCACCTGCCTAACCTGGGCGGCCGGTCTGTCCAGAGGGGGCAGTGGCCAAGCCGCCTCCCCACCCCACCCTGGAGCTGTGGAGGATGAAAGTGTGTCAGAAACGCACCCCAGGACCAAGTGGAGGGCATGGCCTCCTCATAGAGCTGCCCATCCTGCCAGAGGACCAGCACCGCTGTGTCCTGTGACTGCAGGCAGTGGCCACAGGGAGCCACTCGGAAGTACCAGAGGTCACCAGAACATGGCAGACACAGTCTTCCAGGGAGGAGCTGCTCCATTCTACCATCTGAGAGCTCAAGTGTGTGCATTTGGGCCCAACAGTGGAATAATGCTTGAATCCCTCTAACTCCCACTTTCTCGCTGACATCACACCCTTGGGTAACCATTGTGGCATGCTTTGTGGAAGCCAGACACCAACTCAGCCCTATATGGACCACCTTCGTGGACACAATGTCAAGTCTGCGAGGTAGAAACTATAGTACCCCATTTTATGGAAAAAGAAACCCAGACCTAGCTGTGAGCTCAAGTGTTCAAGTCCACAGCCTGAGCTGTTACTGCCTGTGTCACGAGACTGATCAAGTGGACACACGAGCCAAACAAGCACCTGCTGGGTATAACCATGAGCCAGGCAAGGTCCTGGTCCTCACAAACCAGCGAGGTAGGCACAGCCCACCTCACTTCCCAGAGTGGATTTTGCTGGGGTAGCTGCCAGGTTTTGAGACCATCCCACCCGAAGGCCCTGAGTCCTTGGGCACCTCCTGGGCTAAAACTCCCCAGCCCCACTTCCTTCCTTTCTTTACTCCGTTATCCCCCACCTAGTTCTTCTCTCTCTGTTCTGGTTTGCCATTTCTGGGAGAGGCTAGACCACAGTGACTGGAGTCTCAGTCAAGAGATTTCCAAAGTCCCAAGGAGAGGTGGGGTTCAGCACCACGGACAGCGCACTGCTCCGCCAAGGGAGGGGCTGGCTCGCAGAGGCGGGTGTGGGCCACGGTCTGGGAGGGGGTTCAGGTGGGGAGCAGGAGCTCTGACGAAAGGCCTCCAGCTCCTTCTCCCAGAGGGGCAGGTGAGCAGCCTGTAATCGCTGCTGGCCTGCTGGCCCCTCCTTGCTGGGCAGCCAGCAGCCCTGGGCGTGGGAGGTAGAACCGTCTCCCTTCTGATGGCTGGAGCCAGAGGCTACTGCGTGAACGTGAACTTGGAAGATCAGGGGTCACATCCTGCCTGCACCCGGCTATGTTCCAGGCCTGGCACCAGTCTGACTGCTGGGAGACCACTAACAGCTCGGAGGCCTCGATCGAATTAGGAAATGGCCTTCCTGACAGCCTGCCCTCCTCCACCTGTGTAGCCTTGGGAGAGGCCCTCCCTGGCTCAGCTCAGCAGGGCAGGCACAGGGCCTGGCCTCAGTCCAGAGGCCCCAGAACAGCTCTGGGAGCGCCCCGTAACTACAGAGGGGTGGCAGGTTGCTTTTCTGTCTTTCTAGTACTTCTTAAAAATGGGCCAAAGCCACCTGCACATGGAGCTAGCCATCAAGGTGTGTCTGCTATTCTTTCAGGTATCTCCCAGCCAAAAAGCCCATTAGTGTGTTCAGATCTGTGGGACATCTGCTAAGGGGCAGCAAACGGGGCTTCAAAATCCTTGAAGGCTCATCAGCAGCATTGCAGAGCCGCAAGCAGTTGGGGCGGGTTCTGCCCTGGCCATAGTCCCACCTCAGTGCCTGAAGGTGTCGAACAAGAAGGCACCCCGAGGGTGCCCTGACATGCAACTCACTTCTCTGTTCAGGAACCCGGGTTGGTGTGGGTCCCCTGTTGAGCTGTCTCCACCTTTGGGCTGCCGGTGACCCTTTCTGTGGAGAAGTACGTCTTGCATGGCAGCTCCCTTGTGTAATAACCAGCTGCTGTTCACCTGGTCTCTAAAGCATGAGCCAACATGATCAGGTTTGCTAATAAGTCTTTTGTTTGCATTTTGCTAAAATGTTAGGGCTAATTTGATTCCTGGATTAATGTGCGGCCAACACACTTCCTGAGTGTTTGGGAGCTTAGCCTGTGCCCTTCACAACAGCTGAACCACCCCCAAAATTTCTTTGCTCTCTGGCAGATGTGGAAGGCCTGCAGGCACTGGCTGTGGCTTCCCAGCGAGTGGGGCAAAGCCCTCAGCCTCAAGCGAGGCCCTCAAGGCCGGGCTCGAATGGGGAGCCGTGGTCACAAGCAGGACTCACTCTGCCCTCAGACGCACATTCACAAAAGCAGCCCAGCATCTGTGCTCTGTACAGACCTGGCTTCCCCCGAGACAAAGCCCCTTGTGACCAGCCTCTGTGCCCATGTCGCCAGCAGCTACTCTTCAGCCGCACAATTTTCAATGTGTTTCCTTGCCATGTAATTGTGTGGGCAAATATCCTGTTCCTCCCCACGTCTAATTACCATCCCCAGCAAAGTTGGCCACCATGCTTCCCGTGGACATCTGGCTCCCCTCAGCATCTTAGTGCATTTCAATAGAATTAGTGCCCTGTCCCCGCTTAGGTGAATCTGATTACTGCAGACAGGGATGGTCGCCCTCACCCATCTGAAGAGGCGTTGGGTGGCCAGCATGAGGGAGGAGGCCGAGCAGCAGCCATACCACCCCTCCAGAGCCTCCCTCATGGACCAGGCTCTGCCTCCCGCCATGCTGCGTGACACTTTGTTCCTGGGTGGGCGGGGTGCAAGTCTAAACAGAGCGGGACCATCACGGCTCCTGCTTGGAGCCAGCTGGCGTGGACTCTGAGGTCCTGAGTGGAGGACACAGGAATCAGCCATAAACTGAGAGCGAGCAGTGACACAAGAGTCTTGGGGGACCTGCTGCCCATGAGTTAAAGACCATCCTTCCGGGCTGGGGATTTAGCTCAGTGGTTCCACTGCCTGCCTTGCAAGTGCAAGGCCCCGAGTTCGATCCCTGGTGCCAAAAAACAAAACAAAACAAAAACAAACCATCCTTCCCTCTCTCCTGCAAAGCCACTCGACAGCGTCAGGCCCATGTTTGCTTGCCCTTTACAGGCACACAGGGCTTCTCTTTACAGCAGCAGACTGCTTCTCCACTTTATGAATGGCATAGCGCACGTATTGTGGTTCTCTCCGTGTGCATTGTGTGTGGAGACGGGTGGAGGCGTCTAGATTCTGTGCACACCTGCAGAGCGCAGGGCAGGCCAGGGCTTGTCTTGCCGGATGGCCCTGAGCGTGCTCCCTGCTCACACTGGCTGAGCATGCTCCTTGCTCACACTAGGCTGTTTCCTCCCAAGGCAGAGGAGGGGCTGGTCCACTCTGATGCTCTCTGGCCGTGACCTTGATCTTGGTGAACTTTGCAGCCCTGGGCAGCCCACGGCTGAGCTGCGCTGGTGCCCCGCTCACCACTGGCTCTGACTCCTGCCCAGCCCATCCCTTGGGGGGGGAGGGAGGCTGGTGCCCAGGGTTGCACACCTGTCACCTTGGCTCTTGGCCCTGGCGAGCCCTCTCCCTGGGGTCTTGCCGGAAGCTCATCCTCCCCCTCCAGGAGCATGGAGGCAGTGGAGGTGATTCAGGAAGAGAGGCTGTCATGCGTCCTCCCCTGCAAAGCTGAGCAGGAAGCAGCTCCCCACTTTCCTTGGAATATCCCCAAAGTCACGGGCTGTGTCTGCCTCCTGTCTGCCCACCCAGGGGCACCAGGCATGACCACTCTGCCCATCCACCCCCTGCCCTCTGGTGCCCTCTAAAGGACCACACCCCCAGGTCCACTTTGCCTAGGCTTCCTGGGCATTTCTGAGCACCTGCTGCATACAGGGGACCTGGAGAAGTGGGGGGGCCAGTAGACCAACATGGCAACCAGAGGGGGAGGGCTGCGGCAGGGAGTGACAGGGTCTGGAGGGGGGGCTTACACTGACCTTGGGACAAGGAGAGGCTCCAGAGAGGCAGGCGGGGCAGGGAGGCAGGGGTCGCCTTGGGGCCTCTGGGAAGCCCCAAGCGGGGGGCAGAGAGAGTAAAGCAGGAGGCAGGTGCTCGGGATGCTCTGCCTCGGGTGGCAGAGCAAGAGCCAGGGGCCGAGAAGGGGTGAGGATGGCAGCCTGCACTGGGGAGATTCAGGTGGGGCTGGGGCCAGTGAAGGCAGAAGTGGCGGTGACACCAAGAGGACCTCAGCTCTTGGGGAGGGGCACTGGCTCTCCAGCCCCCTGCCCCGCCGTGCAGCCCTGGTTCTGCGAGAGCAGGTGGGGTGCAGGTTCCAGCCTGGTGTCCAGCACTGGGCCTTCACCGAGAGAGGCATAGCTCGCCTGTCCTCATCTGCGGCTTCTGAGGGGGCTGCCCCCTCCAGCTGTGTTCTTGGCAGTGCTGGGGCGAGTGGGCTCTGGAGAGACCACCGTGTGTGTCTCCAAGCTTCCCTCTGTCTCCTGCACCAGCAGCTGCTCCTGACTTCTTTCAACTGACAGTGGAGGGGTCTC